CGTATTACCATCCGCAGCGTCCTCCTACCACCGTATATACTCGATCGCAACCGACGGGACAATGAAACCGTGGCTCAGTGGTTAGGGCTTTGGAATTCTAAACAACAGGTCGCAAGACCGAGCCCAAGGTCTTTCACACCTCAGGGTTGTGTATTATTGGCTGACGACGGCTAATAAGCCAGAAATGGCCATTCCAGTCTCCCTTATCTTCGTCGCTTATGTCATTCTGCCTCCCGTACGCCCCGCTTTGCGGCTGCTGTCGGGGCTTGGGAGAAGGCCCTAAGGCACAATAGGACGAGTGATCGGTGAGCGCCTTCCCTGAATAGACCGCTGGCTGGGGGGGGGGAGCCCAACGAAGTTAATTCGATGCCGCTGATAGCCCGGCGGTTAGACGTCTGCAATAGGGCATTTGCGCATTATGTGCGCAAAGGTTTATAGGTTCGCCACTGGAGTTTACGAGGTGTGAATCGTATAAGGTGGCAGTAGTATAAGCGCAACTGTGCGGTTGATACCGACTCTTCGATATGCTTGAATCGCCGTTGAACGGCAAGACACAGACCAGAATACCTGAAACGTAGATCCTGCCACGCCAACCACTCTGTTTAAATTATCCTCAGCCATCTTCACTTTGTCTCTTCATTGGCAATTATTGGGTTTAAGAATGGAGACAGCGAGTTAGACAGTTTCAAGCAAGTCTGCCTTATTTTTAACCTTGCATAAACGCAAATCGCCACTGCGGCCACTTCCTGGGCCGATTGTCGATTGCGAAAGTCGAAAACTCTGCCTTAAAAGCAGTCGCTGGGGGCGTGGCTGATCGAAGAGCTAGTGAATTAGAAATATCCGGCGGCCTTCATAACCGTCCTCTGTCTTCGTCGTGTCGCCTCCATTGCCGTCTGCTTTATAATTCTTTAACCTCGAGGATGCCCATCAGTTCGTGGTACCTACCACCAGACATCAGGGTCTCTGTATTCAGGACGGTGCATTTACAGTCATGCGGGAATCACAGAAATTTAATAGTTTACTTGGGAAATATTAGATATTTGCCTCGTATTCCTTGAAACCTATCCTGAATTTTGTACATATTTAAGCTTTCTGGGTCAGTTCACGACTTATTTGTTGAAGGCGCATTCATAATTTATTACATGACATGCTGTTGCAGTATAACCGGAATGATCTCACATGAGATCTAGGATCCCACGGATGCGAGCAGACATCCAGACTTTGTCCGAAGCATTAATATCCTCTCAGGATGACCATGTTTTGAAAAAATATGGCAGAAAATATAATGTATCCTGACGAAAAGCAAATGGGATTTTGGGTCTTGCTGTTTTTTGTTGCGGAAAGGAAGAAGGGGTTAGTGAAGCAAAAAGCAATGTTTTAAATCGAGGAGAGCCGTACACATCTGAAAGCAGGCCGCCCCCTTAACGTCCTATTTTTGATATGTTGGACAATGAAATATGAACCCTCCCTACTGCAGAGATTTACCTTCTTCCGTGTTCTAACTTTGTCCCTAACCCTGACATTAACCTCCCTAACCTTGTCTAGAAAGCTGAACTGGTCCAGTGGGGATAGGTCTTATGACTGGGGCATGTTTATTGTCCAGAACTGGCTACTGTATTTATCTAAGTAGGCGGTGTTCAGTGCGGTTTTTGGTCAACATACATCTGACTGCCTCCTTTTACAAGCATGAAGGATGACTCCGGACTGAGATTAGGAACGTTGCTACGTTCGTACAGCCACTTCTTAAGATCCACGAGGATTTCTTCACCCATCGTTATATATGTGTTTCTGAAGTTCCCGAGAGTATGGATGACCCACTCATGTTCTTTTGCTTGAAGTCAGGAAAAGTAATTGACAAAGTATGAGAAGGAATTCTCCCCTGTCTGTCGATTTCTTCGCTCTATTTTCTTTCCTGTGGAAAAAGTGTAACGCCTGCGAATCAGAGACGGGCAGCGTTTTTGACACCGGAACTTCGCCGGAATCTTGAGCATGGATTACGCACAAAAAATGTTCCATAAAATCTTTTTCGCCTAACTTACATTAGGGGCACTCTGGCAGCGGTGGGTTGTGTAATCCCACCTTGTAGCCATGAAACACAGACTCTTGTAATATGGGAATGATAGTAATAGTGTTTTTATGAGTGAGAAATAAGCGCGTATGGGAATGGAATGAATGCTGCAAAACATAGAAGTTAAGTAGATTTCCGTCGAAAATTGTCTTCCACGCTTATATGTAGCAAAGGACTTGGGCGCGTTGATCGTAGTTATGATTAATAAACTAAACAAGGCCTTCCAAAAAATATAGCATGTAGTTGTACACATTAAACCCAATGAGGTTACATAACCTATCCCTTCCGGAGCGCTTCCAGCGATAGTGTTGATGCAGTTGGTTCATCGCAGTCCCCTTAGGCCAAAGTTTAAGCTTCACTTTTGCTCAGATATGAGGTCGTTTCCTAGTCTACATGAAATCGGGTGAGTTTAATTCACATTCTCCACCAAGTTCCCGCCCTTACTACGCCTGAACACTCAACTTCGGGACTTTGAAAAAGGTTCTTCTGGTATATGTGGTTGGCCAGTTTATGTTCCCCAAATGAGCCCCGCGGTAGATGCGCTGTACCAACACGGGGACCATATTGGATCCTGAGAGTAGTTATTGGAATGCGTGTGGTAGCAAATGCCAACATTTGGGGCTTGGCGGCAGGCTTAGTTTCCGGCTGACGTCGTGCACACTGGGATCCCTGCCGCCTCCCATTTTTGATGTTTGTTAGAACCCTGGTCGGTGGTTGCGTGAATCGGAGGAGTATTTGGGGTGGAGCGCCAAGGCACGGGCTCGGCCGCGCCATCCGCCTGCTCCCTCCCCTACCTCCGATCGTCTTGACCCTGCTCTGACACCGGGTCCAGGTGGGGGAGGAGAGAGTGCGACAGATGCTGCGCAAGTCTACCTCCCCCATAAACTAAGTCACGCGCAGGTCACCGTGCCTGCTTCACCCTGCTGTGGAGTACACGGTGAGCATCGTCAGGCATGACGGTTAGACTGTCGATCGGTCTATTTCTAAGAGCACTATTCTACCAGATGTTCGTTATCTGCGTCTTAGAATTCCATCTAAAAAATCCAACCAATCTGAAGACCTTGTATGTGTTTGCGCGCATGAGTTAATTCTGCTTGAACAGCTGTTTCGTTTGCCGCTCTATGTAAGCCTGCCTCCCCTGATGTATAGCAACGACGATGCCAGCGAGAACCCCTGAGGACTCTTTCCTGCTCGGTGCCAAAGTCCAAACCAAAATTATCACTAATTACTGAATCACTTACTCCTTCATGCTTTGATGCCTGTCCACCCACCCCTCCAAAGTCTCTATACCCACACAGTGTCGACGTAACTGCAGTTTTTTACGGCAACGGGCCGTTTTTCAGTTTCTTCGGTCACGTCTAATTTTATTATAGCGTGGGAAACATCAGCGTCATCGGGTGGGGGAAGAGGGTTGAGATTGTTTCACCGGAATCGCCTCGTTGCATTCAGTTGTTCTACAAGACAGCCTTGCCATAACGGTCCCTCACCAATCTTCCTGTTCACGGATAAGTTTTTTCATTATTCGCAATTGGCTGGCGAGTAGGCAAACCGACGAAAGCCAAGGAAGTCAGTTGAAGATACTACACTGATATGAACTTGCTTACTACTGTTGTTTGTGATACATTTAAATAATACTATTGGCACCAACTTCAAAGACAACATGATATTCTCGACATCTGCATACGACCTCCTGCGACCGGCGCCTTCCTCTGGGGCAAAAAACAGATGACTGCGGTTTCCCTGAGCGCTTTCATATGCCCTGTCTGATTTTCTCAAAGTGTCATCTAGTTCTGAATCGTCGCGTCAAATGAGAGTCGAGAGTACCTGGAACTAACGTCTTGTTTGAAAGTCCTGTCGAGCCGATCTTGCAGGATGGAAACGTTTTTAACTTCACAAAGGAAATGAAACCAGGTGTGACGTAAGCAGCTCATAATAACGTTTACGTAAATTCTATAGGTCGGGTAAATCTACCTATTTTTCGTATGTCAGGTTGTCGCATCATACAATCGACTTCTTAAGTTGAAGGTTAAAACTCAAAAGCCGACAAATCAGTCATTACAGCAGATCTAAAATACTTACAAACACCAGTTCCGGAGCAAGAAACGAAAACAGAATCTTCAGAAGTTAACACAATGTTCCATATCGGGGAAAACTAGTTTATAAGGTGAAAATATAAAAAAGGAGGCCGAGCCCATTTCAAAGTTATTTGAATAGACCCGAGAGAAAATCTTTTTAAAAATCAGCGCAATTTGAATTCTTTCGTGACATTTCTTGTGATAAATTGTTCCATGGTATGAATTTTTCCTAAGCATGGATATATACACGTTCAAATCTTCTGGAAGCGGAAAATAACTACAATTTCATTTACTAGCGAATGCAAAAGGTTGTGTTTTATGAGCCACAACCTGAGTTTGCATATTACTCCTGTCTCTGAGAAGGGGTTCCAGACTGAATCCAGGCGAATAAGATTCTTACCCCAACGGCTGCGTTTCGTACTCTTCGATAAATCATGCATGCTACGGGAAAAAACTCAATGAAGACTCATCCTCACATGTAAATGACCAGTCCGCAATTTACAGCAAAAAGCATAGCTTGATTTTAGAGCAATCAAATAAACCTGTGGCAATTAAAGCACACTTAAACGATGGATAAAATAGATGTCAGCCAATCAAATGGAAGAAATCCGCTCCCAGCTACAGTGCTGTCGCTTACAGTTTGAAGAGCGTACCGGCGGACTGACTGACGCAAATGTCAACACGCACTGGACATTGTCATAACGACCATGAGCGCCATTGTACTTTGGCCCAAGTGTAGCGAAATCGGCCTTCAGAGGACATCGCGCTGGTTAGTTGAGAAGCCTCCGTAGCGTGAACTGAGTGACATTCCGAGAGAACGAAAGACTGCGCGGCAAGTTAACTCATAAATCAACCGAATGAGTCGAAAACAGATGATTCAAACGGCGGATCAGCTGAAGATGCGACTGCTACAACTTCCTCCTTCTGCTCAAGTAAGCATCTGACATGATTACGTTCATGCACAACACCTTTAATGGCAAATTTGCAAAAAGTTATGCTTAGAGAACCCGAAGGTATACGAGTAATCAGTGGAAGAAACCTTCTGCGTAGACTTTAGCTGTGTTAACTGAAGCGCTATAAACACGTTAGTTGAGGTTAGGCTGCACGTGATATCAATATCTTCAGGACGATAGTAAATAAATAAATAAACCAAACTGATAGGAGCATTCCGGTATCGCAGCAGTAAGTGAGAAGAGTACATAACATATAATCAGTCTCAGATGTTCATGAGTTTATAACTAACACAAAAGGGAAAGAAAACTAAAGTGTGGAGGCTGTCGCCTGAATTACGGTGGCTAAAATCGAGGGTGATCATAGCCATCACAGCTGATCAAGCAGATGAGTAAGCATGAAGGAGTTAGCAGTTTGACAGTCGTTTCTGCCGACGTACGCCGTTTGCCGTATGATACGGTGGGCATAGGGACGGTTAATAGGACTTGAGCTAGTTTATAGTAATGGCGACTCGCGCCGCATCCTCCCCCCCTCCCACCTGGGTCCCGTGTCAAGATAGATGGCCGGAGGCGGCAGGAGGCGCAGGTTGCTGGCACTGCAAAGACTCGCAATTAGGCGCATCACTACACCCCCTGGTCCACAACGTACATTGACCAGGACTCTATACAGCAAAAATGGGGACGGCTTGTCGAAAGTTATGTGGTCGAAAAGACAAAGATTTCCAACCATAATTCAGGGAAAACGGAGGGAGTTGGGCAACCTTTACTGTTTTGGAAATGCGTACACAAAGGCTCTGTGGGCAGTCGCCGCGAGCGCGCTCTCCAGGCAAGTTGTTGTCTGCGTCCACCTTCGAGGTGCTGAGACTCAGCGCGTGTGTGCGCCTTTAGCTGTCTCCGCGTCCGCCAGCCAATCGGTGGGGGGGGGGACAGCGTTGGTTGGCCTGGAGCACTCGCGAGGCTAGTGACAAGCCTCGCGTGTCCCAGCAGCGTATCGACTAGGCGTGTGAGGCGGACAGAAAGGCAGCGTGACAAATGCGAAGGACCAGGAGACACGAACTGCCAAAGTACCCCCCGGCTAGACCGAAGGCAGCGCGTAGCAACGTCGAAGGAATTGTTGATGTCTAGAACCATGAGTAACCAAACGGTCAGGAAAATGAACATGACGTCCACTAAGGGCGATATATACAGAGGGCACAGGGGTAGAGTGAGTATGGCTCGCGGCTACAATGTTGTTGGTTGATCAAGGGGTAGTTGCAGTTGGGGGTTGCGGACATGGGGACCAAGGAAGTATACTGGACGAAGGGATAGAGGGTCGGGGAGGTGGAGCAGGGGGTAGGCGACCACAGGACTCATACGGAGGAGTGTCCGGGACGGCAGCTGTGAAACGATCCACGCTCACGAACTCCTTACGATTGTCGCGCTGGATGCGAAAGTTCTTCGTCTGACGAGCGATAAGTCGGATGGGGCCGTCGTAGGATGGTTCCAGGGGCCGGCGAACTCGATCACATCGGAGATAGACGTAAGAGCATGTCGCCAAGTCTTTCTCGAGGTAAGACTCAGAAACGGATGGCCTGGGCGGAACGGGGAATGTGTCTGCATGAATTGCCGGAGGCGATGCAGGAGGTTGGTAGGATCCTCAACTGCAACTCGCGGGGTTGGCGAGATCATCTGACTGGGAAGTCAGACGGTGGCACCGAACACGAGTTCGGCAGCAGAACAGTCAAAGTCCGAATTGAGGGAGGAGCGAATGCCCAGTAGGACCAGGGGTAGGTGGTCTATCCAGTTCTCCGGATCGTCTGCAGCGCGTAGGGAGGCCTTCAGCTGGTTGTGAAACCGCACGACCAGGACTCTAAACAGCAAAAATGGGGGCGACTCAGATTCCAGCCGAGTGGGAGCGCCATAAATGTCCCATTAGAAGGAGCCTGACTGTCCCTCCTTCTCGGAGGAGGACCGAGTTATCTTCCCAGTCGGTAGTCTCCCAAGTCACGGCTTTTAGCGCATCGTGTAATATTTAAGCGCGTCAGACTTAGAAGAATATGTGCTGGGAGTGTACACCTCTCTCCCTTCCCCCTCCCAATCACCAACTCACTAGACCAGCCGGTCGGTTAACAGATGCAGGAATTTGGACGCAGTGGCTGACAGAGCTAGAGAGTCCGTCTGCGCGTGCCACACACAAGACCCGATGATCCGCGCCACACCACACCAGGGTTTCACACAAAGGGGATGGACTGCATGGATCTCAAATGTAGCAGATGGTTCACACGGAGGAGCCTTAGAAAACATTTCCCACTTGCGTGGGAGGTGCCTAATTCGTGGCTGCGGTGTATGGGGTCGGGCGCGATTACCTGTGGTGCATGTGTTGATGGCGAAAAGCCTGGCAATGTTGTTTAATCTGTCGTGGTTTATTGCAGGTGTTCACTGAGGCGCACGTGACCGAGAAAACCCACTGAATGGGTGAATGCGCGGGCACAGTGAGGACAACTGGGACGATGGCGATGGGTGCATTGCGGTGTTCTGGCACTGGTTTGCCAGTCTTTGTGCTAAGGATTCGCAGGTGACCGACAAGGCCTATGTGTGTTGTGCATGTGTGTCAGCGGTGTGAACAGAATAGACTGGGAACTGCCATTCCATTTGCGATGATGATGCCGTTAGTTTGGCCGCGGTTGCAGATAGGGAGTCGGTATTGCTGGTAGTGGAAGAGATGTCGGATGTCAAGGCTGCGTTTTTGCGTGTCGGTACTACGATGCGTGCCCTGTCGTGGACATGTACGTGATAGAATGAACCCATGCAACGAGTGGATGTGCTTACGCAGTGCAGGCAGCGAGGGCGGATGAGGCGGGTGTAAGTCGGAGTTCCTGGCACTGCTTTGCTGGTCACAGTTCAGCGTATTTGCAATTGGCCGACCAGACCGTTGCGTGTGATGAATGTGCGATTACAATGGGGAGACAACTGAGATCGAGTATGCATTGCTGGCGCTGGTGTGGGTAATGGTTGATGCGACGTCGGAAGAGTCCTCGTTGGTAGAGGGAATGGGATACGTGGTAGTCTTAGCGGGGTTCTGCCAGAGATGTGAACGACAGCGACGGCATAGCAGGGATGTGATCGTCGGTGGTGGTGGGAGGAGGTTCTGTCAGGGATGTGGGCGGCAGAGAATCAGGGGTGTTGTCGTCGGGGATGTTGTGGGGTTGGTGCAGGAGCGACTACTGAAGTGTTTTTGGAGGCAACATGTGGGCTTGTTGGATTGTTATTGAATCCATATTTCCTCACACCTCGTGTGACTCAGTAAACAGCGCTCCGATCCAGTTCCCGGACCGCTTCACGATTGCCTTATGTACCAGCTCTCATACACAACCCATACTGACACTGCCTGTCTTCGTCACGTGATAAACGCACATCTAGTCATTCAGGCTCACCACACTTAGCGAGTCAGCGGAATCCTACCAGAATGCCTGTACGGAATACATGACCCCCACACACATGGCTCTTCTAATCACATAAAAAACACCGGGTTCCGGAATTATGACGCTTAGGACACACCCACTACGGTGGTCCCGGGTACACTTAACGACTGCGCTTCAATGGCTTGTTCGATCACCCAAGTGGCCCTTAATCCGTTAAAGGTAAGTCACTTTCTACAAACAACTGTTCCTGGATGAGGTTAATTCTACTCAAGTTTCAAATAATTTGACATGGTTGACTTTTTGAAAACCATTAAGAGAAAAGTACGACCAGTCTCAACTGAGTCATTTTTATTTATTTTATCAAGGTCGACTTCTTTAGGCAGACGGACTTTATGTTGCAAAATGACTCGCAAGACCTGCTGGACTCCCTCGCCCGATTTCGGAATGAATTCGGCGAACTATCCTCCATATTTGAAATTGGTGAGCTGATCAGTTCTCAATAGTTATTAATAATTCAGTATGACAGGCAGCAATGAATTATCCGATTCCGTTGTTTATCCCTCGCTCTGGCCCCTTTTCTTTGAATCTCAAAGCAGGGGGAGCCCGTGGGTTTACGTTGTCAGGCCATAGAATTTTCCTCGAATGGCGCAGATGGTGATATAAGATATTTTGACCCAACAATAAAAAAATTCGGCGACTTAGATGAGATTCGAACCCACACAAGTGCGTTGAAGGCTTTAGTACAGCTGCCGAACTAGCTACCTGAGGTATGAAATCCCACCAGAGCCATGGGTTTAATCTCATTTGGATCAAGTTACCTGCCCAGCTTACTGCAACGTATGAAATATGCCAAATCTGATATAGTAAGTTGACTTTTCAAGCAGCATTTCTGAAGTGATCTATCTGGAATCTACCAGATGACTACCAGACTCGTGTAATTAACAGGCGTGTCGGTAGATTTTGAATAATTCATTTCGTGATATTAGTGTAATGTACAGTGGATATGTTATATCATGAAAAATTAACTGAAATTCTGAAATGTGTTTTTCAATTCCTAAATATTATTCTAGCAGGGCTGTAATACTGCCTATTATGTAGCACAGTGTAAAAGTGTTCCAAATAAGTCAGGATGCGGCTTTTGGATGAGCTTTTAGTCAATGTGGACGTCAAAACGGATAAGGCGGGGTAAGGCATATTCTCACTGATGGTCGCGAAAGTTGACTGGAAGCCTCCAAAAGGAATTGCCAGTGAAGCCTCGTCTAAAAATGGGGTTAGTTCGCGATATAAGTCGGTTGGGGATTTGCAGGATTCAGACATGGCGAAACAAGGTAAAACGATGATCACAGAAATGTTTATTCTTGGGTGTACGAATAGCGGGAAAATGTTATATCACATCTCGGAGCAAAAGCAAGAAACATGGCCATAGATGTTATAGCAATATATAAAAAGGTACTGGTACAAAACGCTAAGTTAAACTTCAACAATGAACTCGGTAACAAGGGCACAAAGCAAGATAATATACGAAAGATACTGTACATAGAGAAAAAATCAAATGGGGGACGGGAAAAAATGGCAATTTAAGCAACATGCATTTTTGCTACTGATTTTGACAATTCTAATATATTTTCTTGAAAACATGTGCAAAAATATTCCTTCGTTTACTAATTCGGTAGTAAATTACGCCTTCATCAAATTTTATGATTGAATGGAGGAAATCGTTTGGAGTTTAAAAAACCTTGATCCCCGATTAATTTTGAACCCGAAATGCTGTTAAACGTGCATTTACGGTTTTGGAAGTACAGGCTGTATACTTTTCATACAAGGAAAATCATACGTTTCTGTATGCTATCATGAGGAGGACATACAGGTCCCATCAAATTTTTTGTGTATTTGGATCATGTTGTTCACTTTATACGCGGCATTTCTAAGTTTGTTGATGCGATGCTGTACGACCGAACACGTCGTGGTCTCAAAAAATCATTTAATTAGAAACACTTTCAACACCGACAGATGTTCTTTCTTCAAGTAGGAAGTTTGAAGAAACGTGATTTCCTATCAAATGAGTGGAGGACAGAAAGCTTTTGTGCATGTTTTTTTTTTATAAAATAGATGTAAATCTAAAGAGGGTATCGAAAATCAACATGAAAAATGCATGCCAATTAAGTTACCATTTTTTATGGGATGCGGTTTACGCAGGCGGTCGATGAGGAGCTTGTTCGAAAGCCGAAATCCTGACTTGACTGAAATATCTTGGGATTATGCCGCATTATAATTGATATTAAAACCCTGCATAGGTAATCTTTTCGAATTAAAATCGCATTTTAGAATTTCGGTTAACCCTTCAGGAGTTAGCACATCTAGCGAAAGTGGTGATCAGCCTACCTGACTCAGGTGGGAATAGCCAATCAGAAACCGATGCGAGGTAGCCTGTGAGCGCACATCTTGGCGACAGTGGTCACGTGCGCCAGCCGGCCGGATACGAAACCGAAAAACAGACCATGAAGGCGTGTCTGCGAAGGCGCGCGCAGAGGACGTTTCGGGTGGGTGGGTTTCCTGCTGCTGACGCTGGCTGACATTGGCGTGCAAGTTACGCACCATGTGGTGCCGTACAATGGACAGAGTTGCAATTCCACAGGGAGACGCAGTGGTTACCCCAGTGATGTGAAACTTGCTTTGCCTGAAACATCGCAAAGACGCCAGGGGTTCTGGCATCCGCCGGTTTGTCCCACTTACAGGACAAAGCAAGCCTGCTCGGGCTCCGACTTCGAGACCCGCTCTGGACGCTCTTTAGGTGATTGTTCGACTGTCGGGAGTCATGAGATCTACCACCTGCGTCGTTAAGTGTATGCTGCAGCGGCGGCTTGCGCGTGAACTAGTTTATGACAATTCGACCATCGATTTCGATGATGTTCATCGTGTGCCCAACCGCAGCAGCGGTGGGAGCAGGGACGGTGACTTGGGCAGGGGTTTATAGTGCCAGTAGACTTGTGCTGCATCTACCTGCACTCTATCCTCCTCCTTCGCCCGAGCCCGGTGTCAAGACAGAGTCAAGACGACCGGAGACGAGAGATGCGGCAGGTGGATGGCTCAGACGGATCCTCACCATGGCGTTCCACCACATCTCCTGGTCCACACAACAATAACCAGGATTTCAACCAACACAACCGAGATTGGAGGCTGGCACGGCCGAAGCCGCACCTAGGCGTGCCGCCAACGCCTGGCTCGGATCCCACACAGTGGGAACGCCATAAAGGCCACATTAAGAAGGAGCCATTGCAGCCTGACTCTCAGACCGCCTTCAGTCAAGCAGGAGGTCCAAGTTACCCCGTCAGTTGGCAACCTTCCAAGCCACGGCTTTTAGCGCACCGTGATAGCTTCAAGCGCGTCAGAGTGATTATAGTGAGGAGAAGTGCGCTGAGTCGTCGACCTCACTTTCCCTTCCCATTCCCACACCCCAGCCGCTGTCCGAGCCGGTCAGCAGACTGGAGTGGGAAATGGGCGCGGTGGCTGTCATGGTCGACTGACCATGCCTGCGCGCGCCACGTGCACGACCTGCCCCCGCATACACACATACACCAGGAGTTCGCACAACGGAGGTTGAACGGCGTGTCTCTCACTTGCGTGAGAGGGCCGTGAAAGGTGCTGTTTCAGCCCGTCCCCAGCCCACCAGTCCACCACTCCACACAGCACACACAACGGGACGAACTGCGTGAACCGAGTGGGGACGTCAATCAGCAACCTTCCTATCCACGGCGCTTGACGTGTCGGGATAGTCTCAGACTCAAGTCACCCGTGCAGCCGAAGCCGCATGGAGACCGAGTCGAGATGCACGCTTCCCACTTGCGTGGGAGGTGGCAGTTGGGTGCTTGCGGTGTGTGAGTGTTGATGTGTGGTGGTGGTGGTGGTGATGGTGGTGGTGGTGGTGGTGGCGGCAGGGAGGGAGGGAGGGTGTTATGGTGTGGTGTAGCCGGCAGTTGTCTAACGCAGGTCGTCGTGGATGCGCATGTGGCCGAGTAGGCCCATGCGATGCGTGGAAGTGCGAGGGCAGTGTGGGCAGTGGAGGTGAACTTGGTGGGTATAGGTCGGTGCTCCAGGCACTGGTTCGCCAGTCTCCGGGCGATGACTTCGCAAGTGACCGACCAGACCGAGGCGAGAGGTGAACGTCGGCGACCATACCACGTAGAAAGCACCGGTCCTCGTCCGAACTAGTTTATGATGAGGCAGACTAAGACAGGATCTACTACAGTCTATTTTCCCTCTTCCACGTGGCTCCGACGGCAGAACAATGTCAAGACGACCGGTGGTAGGCTGCGGGGCAAAGGCTGAGAAAGGTAAACTGTCATTCTACACGTGCCATAAGCTGCCCGACCCCCACAGCATGCATCGGACTTTCACAAGGAAGGCTACTCGAATCGCACCAGGTTGGAGCGCCATTGGGACGAAATTAAGGCGAGCCATTGAACCAGATTGCCAGTTCTCGAGCTAGTCACGCCATGTGCACGCACAGTACTGACCACGATGAGCGAGTTATCTAGTCGGTTGTTCGCCCAACAGCACCCAGTATTTGGCTTGTCGTAATTGATTCAGACGGATCAGCGAGGAAGACCCTCAGGTCCCTTAGGGAGAAATTCCCATGTGCCAACCTCATTCTGCCTTCCCTCTTGCATGTACCAATCCACTGTCTGAAACGGTCAGTTGTCTGGAGTTGGAGTTGGCGTTGCGGCTGACAGAGCTACGTTATCTTGTTTAATTTCCGAGGAAATTAACGCGCGAACTGGGAGTAAATGTTTCAGAACAAACCTTTTCAGGAATGGACCGAAAACTGATATGAATATCTGAGCTGAAATCCATCAGCTACTGCGGAATAACCGCATAATATTCACAAACCGCCAACAGGCAGCCGGTAGTATGGAATTTTGCAATTATTTACCGTACTAACAACACAGGAAATTAAGCAAAACAAGGTGGAACTGGAGTTCATATACCAGAAAACACACGGAGAAGGCTGGGGGACCCACTGATGAGCCGAATCTCTTGCAGCTGCGTCAGGCAGCGACACAAGATCGGCAATGCACGCGTGTCTGGGCTTTTAGCTAATACCTGTGCCGTTAGTACGGTAAATAATTACACAATGCTAGAGCTACGTTAGCTAGTGTGCGCGTACCACACATGACCCAGTCGTCCCGTACAAGGTACCACATTTTCACAAAATGCATGTGCCAAGCTACCAAAAGGCGGCTTGAATCTCACGCAGTAGAGGTGGCATGGAGATCGCAGTAAGAAGGAGTCCTTGTATACTGACTCACAATCCTCCATTAACTGCAAAGTGTCCACCATGAGGTCCAAGTTGTCCTATTAGTTGGCAAGCGTCTTAGATAGGTGCGTGATAATAAGCAGTCAATAAACTAGAAGTATCGTATGCAAAAACCAGGTACACTTTAGTGGGTTTCTTTTGGTTTACCTGACGTCAGTGGTCGACCCTGCCCCTTTCGCGGATTTCGGTTAATTATTAAGCAGGAGCTCCTCCACTCTGCCGCCGCCGCAAAATGCGGGAGACAGTAACATGGCGGGTACACAATGGAACCCGATCCTTATATAGAATCTCGATTTTTTCATCGTGTACTTGAGGCATAAGTGGCTGACGTCAGCCAATATGGCAGACATGTCCACACCAATTTCTTTTCTTTTTGTCGGCAATACGTCTCCCCTATCGGAATAGTGAACTTCATGAAAGTATCGGTCAATCGATTTGTCGATCTGGCGCCGGCGTACAGAGCTCTGCGTAGCCACCTCCAGTCTTCAACCGTCGGTCGATGATTGGCCTACATGCCCTATAATTGTCGCTTGTTCTGTTTCTGCCACGATCCCAGACGATGGATTGCATTTAACGTGCCTGGGCGCTGGTGTCAAGGCGTATCGCGACGTAGAGTGTAGAGTATCCGAGTTCGCATGCCCGACTTGTTAAATTTTACCTTATAAATGACGCCAAAAACGAAAAGCGGTATTATCACGAATCTCCGCTTTACTGTGGTTTTCAGAGTAAACTGGTTTTCAGAAGATGAGGTGGCGAGCATACGTAGCTTTCGGTAAATTCTCGTCGGGCCAGTACAATTATATGGGAAGGGGGTAGAAGTAAAAACACGTCAGTGATAAGATAAATCGATTAAAGTTCGCCTTAAAACACAGGCTGGGTGCGGAAATGTAGGGGAGGGGGGAGGGATAATAGCAGTCAATGTCAGGGGTGGGGTGAGAGCGAAAGCCCGCGGAGAGTTGCAGCGTTAGCCGACCTTCAACCTCTGTAGGCGCGGTGCCTGAACGTGGTTCTTCTTGCGCACAAGATTGGTTTTCGCAACCTGATGGCGGCCGCCTCTGCTGTTGCTAACAGGCGATGTCCCAGTGGTTTAGGATAGTTCGATGGGACCTCACAGATCACGCGAAACGCTTCATTGGGGTGTCCGGAGTCGACCACATGCGCGAGAATGGCGCTGCTTATGCCCCTAATTTAGCCTTTTCCCAGCCATGCCGGGAGGTGTTTTCGTATTCTCTTGGATAAGCGCCGACTCGTGCGATCAATATAACCTGCTCCACAGGAGCAAGTGAAGGCATAGATGCACATTGAGGTGGTCTGCTGTGTCAACTTATCCTTGCCTTCTCCGGGTTAGTGGAGAAGGATACTTGAATTCTTGCCGCCGGGAAGGTTCGCGAGACAGCTTGATTAAGTCGTCTCTTTAGGAGTTTACTCGAAGCGTCCCCTTGGAAAGGGACTTTAAGGAACACAGTTTTCTTTTTGACCGTCGGTGTGGCGGGTTTTACCGGTCGTTCGGCCATATTCTTTGCAATAAACCTGTTCGGGTATCCGTTTTCAAGAAGGAAGTCCTGGATTTTTCTAAGTTCCTCCTCGATGCTGTCTGTTGATCAAATGTTTCTAACTCTTTGTGGCAAACATCGGACTAGAGTTCGTTTTTGTTGGAGGGGTACGAAACTGGCGAAGTTCGTTTATTGGCCAGACCAGGTTTTCTTCCGATAGACGCTTCTTCGGACACTCCCGTCAGGTCTCCTGCTTAGAAGAACATCTAAGAAAGGGAGCGAACAGGTCGTTCCGATCTACAGCGTGAACGTGGTCGACGGATGGGCCTGATTTACAGCATCTAAGAGGGTAGCTATGCTGGTTTCTGCAGTGGCAATTGCAAAGATATCATCAACATAGCGGCCGTACTGTTTAAGTTTTTCGATCTGATCGCGTAGTTTAAATCTCTCCAATTTGCCCATGAAGACATCGGCTATGCGAGGTCCAAGAGGCGAGCCCATGGCAGCGCCGTCTATTTGTCTATGAAATTGGTTGTCAAACAGGAACTGCACACGTAATGCGCATCTTAGTAATAGTTCCTTGAGCGTCTTCGTTGGAGAAAAATGGTTAGCCAGCCTTAATGTGGTCTTCAGAGTAAACTGTTTCTGAAGGAAAAACAAAAGAACAAACAAATTTTGCACTACAGTGGACAGCATGGTATTACTGATTAGGGTTTATATTGATGAAACATGGTTTTTGCGGAACGGAGATGACGTCTGAAAGCTGAGGAGGTCCCGAGATCCCTGAAACCACATCGGCGTTTCTGGCGTCTCGGAACAATTCGAGAGTCAGTCATCACCGTATGAAACCAAATTCAGGGCAGGCTGTGCCGATTTCGTCTAGTTAAGCCAGTAGTTTGTCTTCGTACCGTAAACGACACGGTGTTAGTGTCTGCAACCCAACCCAGCGACGCTGAACACAGCTTGCGTCAATGCTATGGTTCGCGTTTTCCTACAAAGCGCACGTGAGAGAAGTGGCAGCACGTGACTTTTGACGTGGGCGTATTGCATTCACCCAAAGATACCGTAGCTACTCAAACGGTGGTAGTACGCAGAGCGCAACAATTATCAGGCCAAGTCCCGGTTAACAGAAGACGAAGACGCCTAAATGAGGACAGATAACACCTTACTACTGTCTTGGCCAGCGGCTAGCGGTGTGAAATCATGCATGAGGGACCGAGCGTGACTGCGGTGTGACATGGCAACGCCGGTGCTCCCGAACAATCCACAGCTCCAGTAGAGTGCGCTGCCGGTGAAAAGCGGCGACACCTTCCTGAATCGAGTCATCCGGTGGATGCGCTGGACCAACACGGGTGATAGATGGCTGCCCGGCAGGCGGTATCGGGAATGCGTACCCATAACAGCTGCCAACACTCAGGGTGCGGTAGCAGACCCGTTTGCAGACCCACCCCGCGCCAACTGGGATCCCCGCCGCCCGTTGTTGTTTTTGTTGTTGAAAATCCTGGTTAAGTGTTTGTTATGGACCAGGGGGTGTGATTGTACGTCCAGGTGTGGGTTTCACCGTGCTAACCGTCTGCGGCCTCTCCCACGTCTGGTCACTCTGACTTGGTCATGACATCGGGCCCAGACGGGGGAGGAGGAAGAGAGTGTGCCGTAGACGCCGCCCAAGTCTACTCTCAATATAAGCTAATTCCCACATGAGTCACCGTCCCTGCCCTCATCTTGCTGTGGATAGCCGGGTAAGGAGACGTGAAGATTTCGCCGGCCAATATAAATCGTCATCCAGTCTGGCTAACAGATCTTGCTCCCCCCCTCCACCCTCTCCCAGACCGCAGGAGGGCAATGCAGCCACAGAGTCCGACCCCAAAGATGCGCTTCTTGAAGGCAGCCAATACTGTGCGGACAATGCTGCGGGCCGACAGGACTGCTAAAGTCGTGAATCCAGAAATCAGTCGGAAGGTGAAAGAGGCCGAATCACAGGCTGTGGCTGAGTACTTAAAGTAAGTTGTTCTTAATTCTGGCAAAATCCCTCGTGCTATGCCACTTACACAGAATATACAGCAGTCTGATCCACAGTACACATCTCTATCACAGGCAGTAACTCGAGGCTGATGAGAGTGGATCCGCAAATTTTCGCATATAACTGTGGACTCTGTTTAAAAGATGTATCTCGGGTGAAAATCAAGCCTATACAGTAATACACCTCAGAGCAGGCCAGCAGAAACGGAGTACTTTTAAAAATAGTCTCTTGAATGGGCGATGAGGCAAGGGATGAGAGGTTTTCCGACCTGATATAAGTGAAGGAGATACTATAATACCATTCAAAGCCAGGAAGCAGGGGGTGTCATCTCTTCTGCTAGTCAGTGAAATGTAAGCGTCTGGTTTGCCATAATCAGCAAACCATGGCACTCGCAGCCTGGTCTGAACTGGCAGTTCTATGGCACCTGGTCTCCTACCGGTAGACGTGCTTGTGCCCCCGCTGGGTAAGCAGGTCGTGAGCGTGGCTTCCCAGTCATCTTCATCCTTCTGACCCATTGTGGTGTTGTTGTGGTTAAGATCCTGATCAAGCAGTTGTTGTTGTGGACCAGGGGGTGTGGTGGTATGCCCAGGTGCGTTTCCGGCCGTGCCAGCCACCTACGCCCTCTCCCGCCTCCAGTCTTCTTGACTGTGTCCCGACATCGAGCCCAGACGGGGAGGAAGAGTGAGTACGGCAGATGCTGTGCAAGTCCACTCCAACTACAAACTAATTCACGTGCTGTCGCTGTAGCTGTCTTACCTTGCTTTGGACCACACGGTGAACGTCGTTATTTGCGATGGTCGAAATATCCATGAAGAGCAAGCGCCCCTCACAACCGGCTGTGCTGCAGATACGTTGGGTCAAAATGGGTGTCACACTGCCTCTCAATTAGCATCGACCGGACTGCGCACACCTATATGAAGTGGCGCACCTTGAATGTAAGCCTTCAGGCCGCGTCAGTCGCAGGGTCCAACCTGATCGCCAGCTAGTTTACAAACTCGGACGGTCGACAGACGCATGAAAGAGGGGAGAGAGAGTGAGACCGCCACTGTGGAGTCCATCTCGCACAGCGTAGCGGCGTCTCCCTCATTATAATAAATCTGATTAGCTGGAACCTAGCACGACACGCTGAGAGTTTTGGCCCGGAGGGCTATCAACAGACCGGAAGACTCAATACCATACAGAATTCAGGATCATGCCGCAATGAGCTCGTCTCATTGTGGCCTCTACGGTACCCCAGCTGATTTGAGATCCGAGCCGCAATCGGGAAAGTCAGATCGCATGTGGGACGCGTAGACGCACTGTCCAGCATCGTCAAGTGCTGCACCAGGACCTACCTCCGGTCGTATTAACACTGTCTTGCCCTCGGAGCAAGGCGGGCAGGGGAGGAGCGAGCGCGGCGTCTTCAGACCGCAAGTCTGCAATACGATATCAATTGTTGCACGCTTCATAAAATGCTTGTCGCTTCCCCGACGAAATGTAGTGGTCAGTGGGCAACTACCTTTTACTGTCAGACAGAGCGGCTTCGTTAATGCAACGCTTGGGTCGCAGAACAAAATTACAGCGCAGAAACGTCATCGAAGACATGTTCAGGCTCCAATGAGAGGTTAAAGGACAACATGAAGTCACAAATAACCTACTGGCACGGTTTGCGGGGAAGCAGAGGAAGTATGCTGCAAAAGTAAAAATATAATGTGGGACTTTAGATAGCGTCTCAGCGAACAGTCTGGATGCAAGTCATCTTGCTAAGACAGTTTTTGCTCTCAGCGCGAATGAAAAATAAGAATGCAAACCACGCAGTGCCATGTATGCATGGGAAAGAGCAGAAACCGACTCGGTCTGCTTAGGAAAATTAGTAAAGGTGGATTTTATACTACGATATGTAACCACTTTTTAACGCCTCAATAGAAGTTATTTTATTCAAAAAATTCTGAAAGAAACAAGCGACTGTAGCCAGCGCGGCCTACTTGTCCCGAAAGCTCGGGGAGAGTGTAGGTGGGATGCGAATTCAACTGATACCAACTGCAATATCGTACTCCTAAGTCCGACTCCACAGAAATCGATAAACGGTACTAGACAACTGCTGAGCTGCAGCTCACAAACGGTTGATGGCGAACGCTAGCAGAAATTTAATTGGCGTTGATCGACCAATCAACGGATTGTCATGACAGGCGGTGTTTGCAAGCGTGCAACTGTCGATGCCTGGGGGCAGAAAAACCGGTCTAATCTTGTGGGGTTGTTACGCCAGAGTAGGGGCGACCGCAATTCTATGGAAGTGGCCTGCCACATGGGTCCACCAAGAACAAATTGTAAATTCTCACATTCGTCCGAAAGAACCACGACGATTAGATGTTGAGACAACCAAGCTAAATTCCGGCAAAGCGGATCGAGGACATGACATCGTGAAAACGTGATTGCTAATTCCTATCTTGTCGACAGGTTTCCGGTGTAATTTAAAGTTATCATGATGTCCCGACCAAAAACTCACTCGACTGGGTGTCACAGGACCGTTTCCTGCTTCGCCTTTTAAAAATGGAATTTAGAACGGTGCGTCAAAGAAATACATAGAGGCCTGCCTGAGAATACGGTTCCTGAGGGCTTCCAGAAGCAGAAGCCCTATGAGCAGGACTATTTGTTTTTCAGCGAAAGTGTGGTAAGTAATGCCATATCCCCAAATAGAGCTCGGAAAGATCGTTATAAACATATTCATAGAGTTTGCTCTGTCAAGAAGTTACCTGCAGCATTTTGAACTTCTGGGCTGTTTATTATACGTTTTAGAAAAATGCAATTCGATAAAATAGCGGAAGCAGAAACAGCCTCTCTCAAGGCGTACGCCAGGCCGACATCATCCATGTAAGTGACTACAATCAGCTTTCCTTCAATACTTGAGACAAAAAATACGTAGGCCAGAATACATTCAGCAACAAGTCGGCCATAATAAAAGCAATAAAGACTTATAATAACTCAAGATAACGACGTATTTTCCGATACAGGTTACTAGACCATGCTCTTTTACAAATCAAGAGTATCGGATATTAATTGGATACATTTAATGGTGTGCTTAGACGACTTATAATACCGCACCACTTAAAAAAACGGTAGAAGTTTGCGCATTACTACGATACGCGTCTTTTAATTGGTTTTCTTGATGCTCTCCTGAGCTGGAGAAAATACGTCAATAAACGTCACCTGCTTTAGGCCTACGTAACAGATATGATGTGCACCATGCGAACGGCAGCGGCTCGTACACAAATCCTCGAAAAAGGCCAATTTTAACACCATCCCTGCTGTCTTTCGCAGACATAGCGTTCCAACCACAAATGGTTGGGTACCGGGTAAAACGTTAATCTAATAGTTCCTCGATGAACCGTCGATGTAGGAAGCAGTCAAACGCATTAAAAAATAAGTATAGACAATATCAACCACATATCCAATAGGTAAAGCCCTCATTTACATTTCATTTCGCTGTTATAATACTTCTGATGCAGGATCGGTTCAGTTGAAAATCGTGTTGGGATTCACTAAACAAATGAAGTCATTGTTCTCATGAGAATCCCCTCAGTTATCTTCCATCAGATGCGCCATCGGCTAGTTGGTCATCGGTAGCCCTGAATCTACTTTGTGAATCAGTACGATGCTGACCAATTTCCCCTTACATGGAAGTTAATGACAAGCAGGTGTGCCGAGGTACGATAGTTGACAAATCGAGATTTCCAAATTCGGAAGTCGGAGAGGACAGATCTGTTGCAGAAACTTTATTCATTCGAGAGAGGGAGAGTGTACGCAGTTTAGTTATTGAGTTTGTTCTCTACGGTGCGGGTTACGTACATACAGAAGGCGGGCTAACTCATGAAATGTCAACCCAAATGCCGAAATAATTATTCGTTTCGAAATAATTAATTAAGTAGAATCGAAAAACTATTTATCCTACAGAATAATTATATAAATTTTAGTTACCTTAGGATGCTGGCTTTCGAATCAATTCTATCCCGGCTGCAGGCAAAAACGAGACTCTATAACAACTGATTACTTATGGTCAGTGTCCGATCTCATGAAATGTTGGCTGAAATGCTGAAATGTGTTTTCGATTAGGAAGGATTACTTGGTCGCGGTTGTAATACTGATTATCTTAAAGCATACTCTTATAACATTTCGGACTTGGCAGAAAGTCAGCTTTTAAATGCATTTCTTTTCAATCTCCTGTAGAAAGCGTGCTCGGTAAAAATGACTACTTAAGTAACATGTGTTTTTCCATTGATTTTCGATGGTCTTGGAAACTCAAATATATTTTATAGAAACCATAAGCAAAAATATGCTTTCTTTTAGTTAGTCAATAGAGAATCATGTCTTCTTTATATTTTATACTTAAGGAAGGAGTATAATTAGGTTTTAAAACGGTTTTCTAATTTCAGAATAATTTGGAGTCCGATCATTCGTTGCATTAGCGCTTAGTGATTTCACCCTACAAGGTGCATGCGCTCCGCGTAAAGAAAATCACATATTTTTCTACGCCATTAAAGAGATATCATACAGAGTTCATAAAATTTTGCTATGGATACGGACCATGTTGTACCTTTCATGAGGAGCAGTGGTGAACGGCCAGGTACGAAGCTATGTGAATGGACATTTTGCGGTCTTAAAAAGTCTCATAATTAGAAACTTTTTTAAAACCAAATTATACGCTTTCCTTAAGTATAAAATATAAAGAACACCTGATTCTCTATTGAGTAACTAAAAGAAAGCATATTTTTGCTTATGGTTTCTATAAAATATATTTGAATTTCCAAGACCATTGAAAATCAATGGAAAAACACATACTACTTAAGTAGTAATATTTTGCCAAGCACGCTTTCTAAAGCAGATTGAGAAGAAGTGCATTTAAAAGCCTACATCCTGCGAAGTCCGAGATGTTATAAGAGAATGCTTTAAGATAATCAGTATTAAAACATCGACCGAGTAATCCTTCCTAATCGAAAACGCATTTTATAATTTCAGCCAACATTTCATGAGATCGGTCATTCACTGTATGTAGCATGATTTTTTCTCGTTGATTGTCGATGTCTCTAAAAGTTCAATGATGTTTCATGGAAAACATGCACAAAAATATTCATTCTTTTGCTAGTTCGGTAGATAATTACGTCTTCTTCTTATTTTATACTCGAAGGAGGAACTTAAGTGGGTTTTAAAAAGGTTTTACTTGGAGGCCTTCTAAATACCGTGAAATGGCCGTCTATAGATAGTCATATCTCTGCATTTACCAATGTGGCTTGTAAAGTTAACAATATGGATCGAATCCACTGCTTAATATGATGAACTCTGTATAGTCCCCCTTTAATTGCCACAGAGAAATGTGTGGTTTCTCGTACGCGGAGAATATACGGCTTGTAAGTTGGAAACCCTGAGTACAAGTGTAACGGTAGAGCAGGTTCAAAATTATTCGGGAATCGTAAAAGTTTTTGAAAACCGAATTATATCTCTCTTTTGAATATCAAATTAGAAGAAGACGTAATTTTCTACAGAATGAGCAAAAGAATGAATAATTCTGTGCATGTTTTCCATGAAATATAATTGACTTTTTAGGGGCATCGACAATCAACGAAAAAAATTATGCTACATAAATAGTTAATTTTACAGAGTGTAGTTTTTTAGGTAGCCGGAAGGATGTTCATTCGAAAGCCGGCATCCCGGGGTAACTGAAATATTACAGAATTATGTTGCAGGCTGACTACTCTTTCAACCCCATTTAATTACTCTTTTCGAAACGAAAACGCATTTCGAAATTTTGATGAGCATTTTATGAGTAAGCCCACCTACTGTATTTGCACCTGTGCCTTATCCGTATGTAGCCAGTTAGCAGGTGGCGTTGCGTGGAATGCCGTCTTCTTCCCCCTCCCCCCCTGTCGGTGCCAAGTGACGCGTGACAGGAGGCGCGAGGCGAATCCAAGGACAGTATTAGGAAGCGGCCACACCGGGGACTGCGGGGACGGACTGCCACAGGTGCCGCTGAACTGGGATGAGGAGAGATTACGCTGCCTCTATGGCTAGCTCTTCCAAATATAACGTCCGAATCGTGACTGTGTAGATGGTGAGGAGGTACAATACGCTGCAAGCTCCGGCCAAGTGCCTTCAATTGAGGAGGGGAGACAGACACCAGGCCACAGTAAGTGTACACGCGCCCGTTGAGTTTGATTGGCCAGCAAGGATGGTCGCGATCTACCGGGAGAAAAGGTATGCAGCCCTGATGTGAACGCTGCCGTGTTAGAGCCAGTGGACTTTGAAACAATGACCGGCGAGGTTTGGTTCCCGCAGCCCCACTTGATTAATACCATATGGCTAGCTTCCGAAAGCGATTACGCTGACTTTTTATACACGAGGTGTTTGCGCCTTTTTTATTGTTTTAGGTTAGTTGTGGTTGTGTAGCCGCACCCGAGATAGACAAAGCCCAGCCACCTCTGATCCGAGACCGGTGGTAATAGGGGATTGCTGCAGGTGGGGCCGGGGAACGCACAGGCGACGGGGCCAGGTAGTTGTATGCAAAAGAAAAGCTATCGGGACTGTACTTGAGTGGTTGAGAAATAGTTGCCATTACCCCTAACCCTGTCCGAAAGCCCTGATCCCTAACCCTAACTCTTAACCGCAGTCCTAAACCCTAATCCCGAAACATTCAACGCGAATGTTAGGAGACGACAGGCAGAAAGTCAAGGAGGACCACCGGCATTGGGACGAAAAAGATGGACACCTCGAAAAAGAAAAAAGGTCGCCAACAGAACACACACCGGAACCCACAGCAACACCATGCCAACGTTATCACACCAACTCCAAATAATTAAGTAGGTCAACAGCATTATGTCCATAAGGTGTGGCTAAATAACCACGTCTTACCCCATTTTAATCCAGCAACTGTCTGTGCCCCAGGGGGTTCTCAAACGCCATCCTCGGTTACATCGGCTATCAGTTCACACGCGCTTCCCTGTACGTGCTTCGAACCCTGGTTGCGCCCTCTTTTTGATCTCAATCCATCAAGGGGCTAAGCGGGCTTGCATATGACCTTTTTCTGACGGAAAGAAACTCTGTCGGTTCCACTATAGTGACCATGCACTGCGAAGTAACACGTGGTTCCCTCCGTGACCTTCCAGCTGTGACCGCACCCTCCTTATCCCCTTAATCCTGTGAGTGGCTGTGTCGCAGGGTGAGTGCGGACACGACACAATTGGTTACACCAAGCATTAGTTCACATGCGTTTCCTTGGGCTTGCTTCGAGCTCTGCTTGTGCTCTTTTCTCCCTCCTAATCCAGCGGGTGCCCAAGTTAGGCTAGTTGACTAAAACAGTTCCAGTAAGCTAATTATATGATATTAATCATGTGGGCTGCAGACCAAACCTCGCCCAGTGACCTGATGCACTGTGACGATGTTTATAGCAGTTACAGTCAGCATTCTCGATTGTCGACATGATTCCTCAGTTGACTGTGAGAAACGAAGGCCATTCATGTGACCAGAATGCGATGCTTTTTGGCTCCAGAGGAGCGAGAGTATTGATTAACGAGTAGATCTAATAAGTTGCCAGATCTTTTCGGGTGGTGTTGAGGCGGTGTTGTCTGTCTTGAACTTGCCAATCGTTCAGGTTAAGCTGAGGGCACGAAACAAAAGACCATGCAACCAGTTGATTCCCTCGAAGTGTTACGCCGCCCTGTCAAGCAATGTTTTTGATCGGCTACGGCCGGGCATCTTTTAGGGGTTAAGCATAGTTTCAAACGAAAAACAAACTGTAAAGTGTTGTTGAGGTTTTTTATGACCCGGAAGAAAGGTAGGGCAGGAACAGAGCCGGTTCGGAGGGCAAGCACTCTATTGGTAACTTGCGGACAGGAGAGGTTACAAATCTGGGGATCTCTTACTTTTGCTAACCTGAGGTTACAAATCGTAGGATGCGCTATCTATATTGGCCCCTGTGCGTTCTGGAACATTCCGTCCAATGACGTGTCAGCCGTTGAGGGCGTTCTAGAATGTTCCTGTCCCGGAAGTGCTGGTCGCTGATTGGCCACCGCGTGCGCGATAGCCCCCCCCCCGCGGAAACGTCTGGAATGTTCGACCAGCCATTGATTGGGCCGCGCACGTGAGCAAAGCCACCACACGTGCTCGGCGCTGCAGTGCACGCCGGTCGGCCGTCTCATGCCGCCGGCTTGGTCCCCTGTTCAGCGCCTTAGGTCGTGGCTCCACGCCGCTTGCACTCTCCAAAACAGGTTTGCATCTTAGGACGTGCAACAGAGTGAAGATGCATGTCTTTTCTCCCAAGGCAATTTAAACAGCCGATAATTCATAATATGATACACGGAAATTTTAACCACGTTCAGTTCTTTAGCTTAGTTACTTGTCGGGTCCGACTGTACTAGGCAGACTGGCATGTTCACTATTCGTAAACGTTCATGTATTCCGCACCCCCAGCTCCACAAAGCCCCCCGCGCGCAGACGGCTGTCAAACATCTCACACATATCAAATCTGTTAGAGGAGGATGAAGACACAGTACCAGGCGACTTCAGAGACATGCAAGTGAGTTTTAGTAGTAACATCAATCCCCATAAAATGATGTGCGAGGGTGGCGTGAATTCTTCGACGCAAACCTCAGATTCGGTTTGAAATTTTACACGAATATTTGAGCTGAATGGCGGTGCGGTATTCGTGTATTGCCCAAAGGGGTAGTGGGTACTACATAAATACTGAGTAATTTAACGTACCCACGGCACAAAAGCGTAGAAACACATGCCCGGGCTTCTAGTCGCCACCCGTGCCGGGAGTAGGTCTGTCACTACCGCTGCTGCCGTTACTACTACTACTACTACTACTACTACTACTACTACTACTACTACTACTACTACTACTACTACTACTACTACTACTACTACTACTACTACTACTACTACTACTACTACTACTACTACTACTACTACTACTACTACTACTACTACTACTACTACTACTACTACTACTACTACTACTACTACTACTACTACTACTACTACTACTACTACTACTACTACTACTGCTACTACTACTACTACTACTACTAATACCACCGCCACTACCACTGATGATAATACTGATAAGTGAGCGGGTACAAGATGGCTCCCCCGGCTTGCTGTCATTTATTTCAAAATCGTCTGGAAAATGAAAACGCTCATTAAAGACATAACTATATCCTTTCCTAAAATGTCGACTTTAAAGAAGACGTGATTTACCAACGAGCGAGTACGGAAAAGGCATTTTGTGCATGCTCTACATAAAATATATTTGAATTTTAGAAGGCAGTGAAAATTATGAGAATTAATCCAATGATTCTGGTGACGGAAATGAAAAAATTGTGTGCTGAACAAATAAGTCGAAGTAGATTTTTTCTACCGTCATTAGCTCCTGCTCTTGGTCTTGCAAGCACATCGACCTAAAGGTGGTAGTTGAAGGTCAATACTACTCCCCGGAAGACGCAAAACTAATAGAGTTGGTCTTTATCTAGAAGGGTCCGAAAACTGTTTAGATCGACGACATTCTAAGTGTTAGCGGGGAGATAGGTGTGTAATCCGGTTAAATCTGGGGAAGACTGCTCTATGCTTGGGCAGACCTCTAATCAAAATTATTGAATTCTAGGCCAAGCTGCTAGGAAACTTGCAAACGCACGATGACGCTATAGCGGCGGAAAGGCAGAAGGTGCAGGATATTCTTAGTCAGCGCAGATCAGCTGCCAAGACGGCAAGGACGGCCCACGCCTTGAGTACAGCAAACCAACTCCTCACAAGACAATCGGAAGTTGAGCAGGGGTGAGTCCGGTCATCGATCGCCCAATTCCAATTTCGTAAAACGCCATCCTACTCACTACGATTCAGTAAACTGTTTTTTTTGGCAAATTCTAGACTGGAACAAGCGAAGGCTGACCTGGAGGAAAAGTTAAAGACACGCATTCTCCTGCAGAAGCACAGCGGTGGCAGTAAAGGCGATGCAAAAACCTCCAAATACGAACAAGCTAAGACGCTTGATACCGTAGCGTAAGAAATAATTTTTTTTGTTACTAACGACCTGCGCCCTAATTCAGAGAACTCGCTCAGTTCGAGGAAGATGTCGGTTGCCCAACGCTGGAGGAGGCCTAGCAGGAAAGCGAAAAGAACGACACAGATCTTTGAGGAGCCATGCAGCATCTCATGCGTGCGGCAGATAATTCTCATCTTCTACCGACGTGATGCACTTTATTTTTGATCATTGTACTTATTCAAGATAACGCGCGCTCGCGTCTCGAAATCTTTCAAGTTATTCCTTGTGTGAGAAGCGGGATATTCGGCTTGTCTCTATTACTTCTTCCAAGAATTCGGCTTCGTTTACAGTTATTTTGCGAGAATTTGTCCTCACTGTGGGCTAACAGTCGGACTCCAGTTCGCACGGTGGTCAAATACAGTTTTTAGCCGGTATAGGAGTCCTCTAATGATAGCAGTTATTCTAGAAATACTTTTACACTTGCATGCAACGAGTGCGGGTATGGCGAGGGTAACAGCGACTCATTACTGATAAAGTAATCGCCTCGCGACGACGTTGAGGGATGAAAGTTACATATCTGTCCGAGATTTAGAAGCAAATCGAGCCCACACTGGGGTCCATCATAATCTGGCCGCGATCGAACACACTCATGGCGAAAATTTTATTTTACGCTGGCCTAGTTGGAGCAGAGACGGTTTTTTTCTTTGGGCTGTATGGTGAAAGACACCATCGGTGGCTCGGTCGTCGTAAGCGACCAGCGTCACCAGGGTCTAGGTCAACTATAGCGGCCGGAGGGAGTCAGATTTTTTTAGGGGAGGTCAGCGAACCATCGACCGCACTCCCACTTCCATCATGTTCTAATGACACGACGATTGAATAGCGGTGTGCACATAGCAGCTAACGCGACGTAAAGCTACGGGCTGCATGTGTGCTATACCTGCTGGTCCAGCAGTCCAAACGGATACGACTTAATCCGTTTGACTATAGCCTCTCTACACATGAAGCTCATACGGTGCACCCATGAAGTCACAACTCCTGCTCCTTCGCTTAAGTCCGTCAGCTCTAGATCTGATGAAAGCCCATAGATCTTACGGGTATCCGATAACACAGGCCCAGGGACTAAAGTAGGTGGGAACTCAAGCAAAAGTGAGTAATAAACCGTATATTACAGGTGAATATATATATGTATATATGCCCCAGTAGGAGCGGTGCTACTCTGAGTGGTTGGGGTCACATCGATAACTCTGGCAAGTGCGTAAAAAAATATACTCAAATATGGGTATAAAGTGAGAAGGAGCCGTAAAAGTAATGAAAAGTGGAGTGGGTTGATACAGACGTCGAGGGTTGCAGGGAATGTCGACAACCAGTGGGGGACCTCTAGATCCCACCGCCCCCGGAGTCAGGCTGAGAGGGGAGGGATGTCGATAGACCAGACTGGTCAAGTCGGAGGGAAGAGCCCTTGGCCTTGCCTCCCAAGGGGACGACTTTGACGCGAGGATATCCAGACCACTCGGGGGAGGAGGAACTTCGCCGGCGGGGAGCGCGCGCGGCCGTCTGAACTCCGGCGACGGCAGGGAGGGCGAACTTCAGGGTGCTGAGGCGTGCGGCGCCGACGAGCTGATCACAGAGACGAAAGGCACCGCTCAAGACCTGCAGACCCCTGTTCAAAATGGTGTTGACTGTGGAAACAAACAAAGTGGCCACGGTGCTTCTGGCGGTTGAACCCCTCTCACGAATCCATGTCAACCACTGGCTTTAGCGGAAAGACTGTGTTAAGGCAACAGCTAGAGGAGACAGGAATCTCAAATCATCGGTCTGTCTTCTCAGGCAGAGGTCCACCACCTCAGGCCAAATGAACCAGGATTACCCACCTACGTTATTTACAGAGCAGTTCATGGACAAACAAAGGATAACGGCTGGTTGTTAAGGGAGAGAAAGCTACATCTGCAGTCGGTGGGCAACAGTGACGGTGCATATGCGGGATCCAAATCGCGAGGGGTTTGGGGTGGGCAGAAATACCAATTGTCTTTTTTGTCTTATGCCAGTTACTTTGGCATGAAGGCCTTTATTACTGGCATGTGAGCTTTGTTTACTTCATACTTCTTGCTACGTTGTAAACCCACTACAAGTCTTCTGATACGATGTGCCCGGGAGGTCCACAAGCAGCTAACATAAACACCCTTACAAACTGCTAATACAGATTTAAAGCAGCCCACTAAAGGGACAATGCCAAGAAGATCGGGGGCAGACTCGGACACCATGGATGACGAGACTGAACGGCCCGTTTGGATGTGCCACACACGACCCCCGTTCCAAGACTTTTGCTGTACAGTAGGTGGGCCAACTCATGAAATGCCAACAGAAATTCCGAAATGCGTTTTCGTTTCGAAAAGATTAATTAAGAAGGGTTGTAAAACCAATCATCAGGCAGCATAATTCTATAATACTTCAGTTACCTCAGGATGCCGGCTTTCAAACGAACTTGCTTCATTGATTTTCGACACCCTTAAAGATTCAATCATATTTCATGGAAAACATGAATAAAAATATTCATTCTTTTGCTCATTCGGTAGAAAATTATGTCTTCATTCTATTTCACACTCAAAGAAATGGTATAAATCGGTTTTAAAAAGTATCTAATTGTGAGAGTTTTTAATAAAATGAAATTCCCCTTCATAAAACGCCATGTCTCTGCATTTAACAATGTGGCTTGTAAAGTTAACAATGTGGCTCAAATCCACCGCTTAATTTTATGAACCCTATATCGTCCCCCTTTACTACCGTAGAGAAATGTATGGTTTTCCTCACGCAGAAAATATACGGCTTGTAGTTTGGGAACCCTGAATGCAAGTGTAACGGCAGGTTGGGTTCACAATGATTCGGGAATTGGAAAAGTTTTATAAAACCAAATTATACCCTTCCTTTTAGTGTAAAATTAAAAGACGTAATTTTCTACTGAATGAGCAAAAGAATGAATATTTTTGTGTATGTTTTCCATGAAACATAATTAAATCTTTAAGGAGATCGAAGATGAATGAAGATGCATGCGAGTTAAGTAGTCATTTTTTACGGAGTATGGCTTTTGGATGCAGCCAAAGAGAAGTTTGCTCGAAAGCCGGCATCCTGGAGTAACTGAGTTATCATAGAATTATGCTGCACGATGATTGGTTTTACAACCCTACTTAATCAATCTTTTCGATACGAAAACGCCTTTCGGAATTTATGTTGAGATTTCATGAGCAAGCCCACTTACTTTACCTTCATAGGGGAGACTCGGAGCTAACATCAATGCATATGCCATAAAGGCCACATTAGGGGGTTAATGTAGTCTGATTCTGGGTTCTTCAATAACTCCAGTGACCTGTCAGTTGGTAACCTGTCAAGCCACGACTTTTGGAGCGCCAGATTTATGACACTGAGGAATGCGCTGATGTGTCGTGCGGATGCACTCCTTAGCTTTGACCTCATTCTCAATGCCATCCACCGTATGTCAGTCTACTGTGAGCGCAGTGGTTGACAGAGTTAGACAGTCCACCTAGTATGCCACACAAGCCTGATTAATAGTTCATCCACCAGAGTACGTCAAGAACAGGTCTCCTACTTACATCAGACGCGCATGTCCTGGCCTGCTGTTGCGCCCGTCATAGGAGATGAAAAAAGTGTCACAGGGGGTGGCGCCTGAAGTGTGGGGGTTCAAATGTGGCCTAGGGGTGTGTGTATGTGTGTAGGAGAGGAGACGTCCAAAGAAAAGTGTGGTGATGGAGTTGGACTGCAGTTAGTGCGGATTTTCGTGGGTACGCGCATGGTCGAATGTCCTGGGGCAGTTTGGTCAGGAGTGACGGCTGTGGAGGGTGTATGCTGGGGCGCCTGGCACTGGTTCTTCGGTCATTGTGAGATAAATCCGCAAGTGACCGACTGGGCCAATGCGTGATGCAAATGTACGGTGGCAGCAGATACAGGATGGAAATGTGACTACTCAGCTGGTACCGAAGATGTTGTTGGCGAAGACGCTTCAGGGTGTAGAAGGTGGGTTTGTTGTGAAAGCGTGTGTGCATGAAAAGACCAGTGCCATATCTGAATGTCTTGCGGTATTATAGGCAGGTCAGATCGTAGCTCCAGACACTGGTTCACAGGCCTCAGCGCAGTGAATTGGCAAGTGGCCGGCTAGGCCGATGCGTAATGCGAGTCGATAATAAGTTATTTTGACCCAACTGTGAAAAACTCGACAACCCCGGTGGGATTCGAAGGCACGACAGCCTGGTAGTTACCTGATAGACTCTTGATGGACGACTTAGGAAACTCTGCTTAGGGAGTCAGCATACTGTACCAGATTTGGTGGGTTCCATACGCTGCAGTAGGCTGAGCGGGTAACATGACCCGAATGTGATTAAACTCACGGCTTCCGGTGGGACCTCGTAGCTCAGATGGCTGTACAAAAACCTGCCCCTTGCTGTTTCCACAGTTGGGTCAAAACAAATCATCCAAAATCCACCAAAACACCCATTAATAAGAAGTTGATTAAACTGATCAGGAAGGACAACAGATCACCAGTCTATTATAAAAAGGATACGTCCTAATTTCAGCGTCCCCCGCCTCCTGGCTGAAGCCTCCGTTCATGTGAAAGACGCAGGTGTACCCGTCTGCATGTTTGCCGTCGATGAGGTAGCAACGCGGGACCAATCGATGCACCCGGAAACCGTGACGGGCGTAGAAACGGAGGCCAGCCGTGTTGGTGCTCAGAGTGTGCAGAAAGACGGCCCGGCAGGGCAACAGGAAGAGGCGGTCCTGGAGGGAGTCCAGGAAGTCCATGTGAGCGCGCGAAAGGGTCACCTTATAAGGACAAGTGAGTAGCCAATCAGATGTGTGCAGGGCAGCGATTGGCTGACTATGCGTAGAATAACATTACCGACAAAGACAAGGGAGACTGGAATGGCCATTTCTGGCTTAGTGGCCGTCATCAGCCAGTCATACCCAAACACCGAAGTGTGGAACACTGCTTATTGCGACAGCAGAAAATCCGCAAAAAACGTGTCTGGGCTTTTAACCTCTGCCTACGGTGAGAACATGGATAGACTGCTTCTGTGAATGCAACTGCTTTAAAAGGGTAATCTGTTAAAACAGACCTCGGGAGATCTTCACCTTAAACAGTTGGAAGAGGTTTGCAAGGAAACGGAAACGGATCGAATAAAACAATCAGGGACAGTTTGTTTTTACCAAAACTGCGTTAAAGAGTCAGATTCTCCATGATCCAGATCTATTTAGTAGCCAAGTTGCCTCGAGTTAAGTTTTGTCAAAAGAAACTCACAAGACCTGGGTTAGAGCAGCGAATCGACTACTTTGGGAAGACCAGCATGATGCTGATTCCTGCGCAACTTCCAGTCGCATTGCTGATGTGTAGGCAATAACAGAAGCTATGGTAGGGGGCACTCACCGATCGTTCTTACGGAACTCACCCGTTCCGTTGTGCCTTACGGGCTCTGTCTCGAGACCAATCAGCAGCCACACAGCGGTGCATGATATAGGCAATATGTTATTACCGACAAAGACAAGAGAAACTGGCATGGCCATTTCTGGCTTATCAGCCGTCGTCAGCCAGTCATACCCAACCCCGAGGTATGGAACACCCGAGGCTCAAACTTTCGACATATTAGTTAGAAGTCCACGCCTCTAACCCCTCGGCCACGAGCACGTTGCCCTGTCGGTTTTCGACCGGGAATATACAATGGTAGGGGGCGCGTAGTTCAAGCATATGGTTTAAATACTGCTCGGCTATCCTTAGTATGGACATGCAAAAATTGAAAGAATGATTTCATCGGCATGCCTAAGCCCAGTAGCAGGCGGCTGCCCTGGGGTTCGAAACATCATAATGGCTCCAAATTGGTGACCAATGCAGTAAGGGGCTTAAGTTAATAACTCCTGTTAGCGACTGTATCCATTTGCTGTCTCAGACTCACATGAGTAGGGAGTAACTGAAACAACACCCAAGTGTCCCGGGATCGCTTTCCCCTACATCTCGGCTTAGACGTGGGCTGCAGCGATGAGCCCCTGTAAGAAATCTGTTGGAGACTCCAAGCCCGGAGGGTATTCAGCCGTGATAAACCAGGGGAATGTAGAAGGTATGGAGGGAGTTGCGGCTGAATCGCGTCAAATGGTATAGACTAAGAAAAGACTATTTTGCTGATGGTCGTGAAATGCTTTTTATAAAACAGTTGGTTGGAGGCAAGCGACGAGAATCATCACTGACCGGCAGGAGGGGGAAGGCGGGGTTTAATGGTGGCTTGCGCGCGAGCTTGCATACCGCGTTCATACTGTTTCAAGATGACCGGGGTAGGCTTGTGCGTAGTTACTGACAAAGTGAAACAGTCTGTCTGGACGTGAAACGCACAAGCTAGGCTTCGAGGTGAGGTGATCTCGGGTCGAACAAAAGCGAGATCGCGATAAATCACATATGGGAGGGGCCATTGCAGCCCAACCCCCAGTGTTGTGTAGGTTCCAGTAATCCTGCACACTGATAACTTTCCCCGCTTCAAAACGAAAAAACATTTCGGAATTTCGGTTGACATTTCATTGGTTAGTCCGCGATCTGTAGTTACCGATGAGTAGTCACTGGGAACGACAGCATATTAGCCAAAATGCGTTTATAAGCCACCTATGCGTCGTTTGGAAGTCAGGGAAGTCACATATAGCAGGGGGCCATTGCAGCCCAACCCCCAGTTTTTTTGTAGACTCCAGTAATCCTGCGCACTGATAACTTCCCATGCAACGACCGTCAGAGCGTCGTGATACTTTCAGGGTGCGTCTAGAAGGCTATGGTTAGAAAAGTAAACACCGGATAAAGACTACAAAGACTACAATCTCGCATGCCTACAGTAGGGCACGACCTCCAGTCTACCGCCAATCAAGTGCAATCCTTCATCCTACCGCTGCGATCTGTGTAAACAAGCGTAAATTCTACCGATGGCAGAGAGTTCCATTGAGGAAGCCCTAATTCTAGGGGGAGAGAAGGTCAGGAAGGCCAAGGGTGTAGGGTTCGAAGATAAAGAACTGTAGGGGGAGGCGGCGGAGGAGGAAGCATGCAATCTAACTGAAGAATCGGGTAAGATCGCAGGACCAGTTGATCGTACGCTAACAATGTGCCATCTTAATCATCCTGAGTTGATGTGTGGCGCAGGTGGGCTGAGACAAAGTTCGCCCGCCCCAAAAGACAGGTCAACAGTGAATTTCGGACAGGAGAGATAGGAAATTCGATCCTCAACAGAGGCTTGTGTCAAACAAGTCGAGGTCGCACAAGGAAAGAGGAGGGAGAAAGAGGGAAGCGCACATACAATAGAATCCAGTCGCCACATACCTGACATTTCTATCGAGCCCGCTGGGCCTCTAGCCAACTGCCAATACCACAGCGCCTCTCACCGTTAGATTCAAGCAAATTTGTTGCAAGGGCTGGGTAAACTGAGTCCCTTCACGCTATCCCAACCGCCTGGCTAACCCGGAAGTAAAGCTGGCCAATCGCCTCGGGCGCAACCGCGTCCCGGCAGTCACGGGTTGCTAGAACGCAAGACTACAGTAGGCAGGCTAACTCATGAAATGTCAACCGAAATTCCGAAGTGCGCTTTCGATTCGAAACGATTAGTTAAGTACGGTCCTAAAATCAATCAGCATATCAAATTCAGTTACCCCAGGACACCAGCTTTCGAACGAACTTCCTCCGGCTGCATGGGAAAACTACACTCTAATAAAATGACTACTTAAGTAGCATGAATTTGTCTCGTTGCTTTTCGATGCCCCTAAAAGTCCAATTATTTTTCAAGAAAAACATAGGAAAAATATTCATTCTTTCACTTATTCGGTGGACAACTGCGTCTACTTCCAACCTTATACACGAAGGAGGGGCAATATTCGGTTTTTAAAAAGTTTCTAATTGTGGGACTTTTAAATACCGTGAAATGACCGTTCATAAATTGTCATGTCTCTGCATTTATCAATGTGGCTTGTAAAGTTAACAATATGGATCACATCCGCTGCTAAATTTTACGAACCCTATATGGTCCACCTTTATTACCGTAGAGAAATGTGTGGTTTTCGGTACGCGGAAAATATACGCCTTGTAGATTGGAAACCCTGAATCCAAGTGTAACGGCGGAGCGGGTTCAAAAGCATTCGGGAAATGGAAGAGTTTTTAAAAATCGAATTATACACTTCATTAGAGTATAAAGTAGGAAGATGCAGTTTTCTACCGAATGGGCGAAAGGAATATTTTATGCATGTTTTCCATGAAATATAATTGAATTTTTAAGAACAGCGAAAATGCATGAGAAAATTTTACGCTACTGAAGTAGTCATTTTTTGGAGAGCATAGTTCTTGCATGCAGTCGGAAGGAAGTCCGTTCGAAAGTCGGCATCCTGAGGTAACTGAAATATCATAGAATTATTTTGCAGGCTGACTAGTTTCACAATCCTGCCTAATTAATCTTTTCGAAACAAAAACGCATTTCGGTTGACGTTTCATGAGTTAGCCCACCTACTGTACAAGTCATCTGATAAGACGGCCTACATAACTCGAATACAAGAATCCTTGATTACGTCTACACAAACATGCAAAATCAGTTGGCTTTTAAGACATGAAATCTCTGACAGAAACATGGCTTAACAAGGTTTGGAGGGCACTGTTGAAACATCAGGTGAGAGCTCTGCGAAAAGCGAATTTCTGCCTACGACCTTTGAATCTTTTTCTTATAATCAAGACTTCATCTGAGACCGTGCGGACTAAGGTACACCAATTAGTTTAATCGCCGCAGGGCCGCTGATTGCATCTGACGAATCAATCTATATATGCCTGCCCGCGAGTTAAAATACAACATCCATTTCCTTGAGACATCCAGTCTGTGTGGTGGGGCTACGAATAAGTGAACTGCAAAAAGGTGATTGAAAGAGGAAGGTCAAAACCTTCTGCATTAGCCAGGTAAGAACTAGAACTACCGAGATCTTACAGGTAAGTTAAAAGCTGCTTAATTCACATTACATATTAATGAATGATGTTTTGAGGTGTGATCTCGATTAGAAGGAATTACTCAGGTGGGGCTATAAGACAGCATAATGCGGAGATATTCCCGTCGTGCCGGAATTCGTGTCTTTCGGTCGTCTACAGAAATAAACCTCTGCGACAGTAGGGTGAAGGACCCCAATTAGCTGCCAGTAGACTGTGGACCGTGTGCTGACGTATATACATGTGAAACCTAGTTAAATAGCGATGACTGGCAGTTGTACTCAAGAGGGGAGAAATAAAAAAATAAACGGAGATAAACTGAGCCTGAATTGAGAGATATCGGAAATGTCTGCCAGAGGATAGGCTCAGTTGTTCGATGGTCAGGCACTCATTCAAGATGGAACGTCATGGCATATCTAGCTGAACGTCGTAACTGCATACATTTATTATTTTACTCGGAAGTATCGTTTTTGCCACCGACCGTCTTCTGAGCTTTCCTGCGTTCCGTCAGCTTACTGCCCCACCCCCAATTACCACCATTCTCGTATGACAGGATCCACAGTATACTCACACCTAATTGGAGTCCTTCACCCTACCTTTGTCTAAAGCCCGCGAAAGACGACTACCTAAGTAGTATGATTTTCTTCCATCGACTTTTGCTTCCCGTATAAGTCGAAACGTAGCAGCTTTATGCAAATTGTCCGCTCGTAAACACAGTATATACCAGTTAGAAAAAAGTTTTAGATTCTCGAGTAGTTTCCAACCAGAACTGCCGTTGAATTTACGCCTAAACTTACGAGAGTACAAGCTGTGTATTTTATTTAAAGAAAATTACAAATTCTTTACGCCATTACGAAGGCCCCATATAGTTCTCATAAAATCTTGCAACAGATATGAACCACGTTAGATATTTCACAGGGAGCATTGACAAAATGACGGATACAGGGCGGCCCTAAAATTTCAAAATTAGTAACCTTTTTAAACCTTAAAATCCTGTAGCGTCAGACGGAAAACTCGAAGAAAATGAGATTTTCTATCAAAGTGGGTGTAAGAAGGCATACTTTTTGTATGCTTTATGTTAAATAATTTCGAATTTATGGGCACATGGAGGATCGACGGGGATCATACTACTTATGCAGATGTTTTTGGCGAGTATGAATTCTGTAGGTGGGCAAAAAGATGCACATTCAAAAGTCAGATTACTGGAGTGATTGGAATACCTAGGGATTGCACTGCATGGCATACAGATAGTGACAAATCGACTGTCGCATCCGACGATGCCCACCGTGTGCTCCACAGCCAGATGAGGCAGGCGCGGTTACTTGCGCAGCATCTACCGCACTCTCTCCTTCTCTCCTACCTGGGCCCCGGTGTAGAGACATGGTAGAAGAAAACCAAAGCGGGGGAGGGCGCAAGTGGATGGTACAGTCGAGCCCGCACCGTGGCGCTCCACTCCCCACCCCCTGGTCCACGCAGCAAATGACCAGGATTTTAACTAACAACAAAAGGGAGGCTGACGCGGCCGAAGCCGCACCACTTGGATCTCACAGAGTGGAAGTGCCATAAAGGCCACATTTTGAAGGAACTATTGCAGCCTGACCCTTAGACCACCGCTCGGTCGCTCCTCACAAACACAAACACTAGGTCGACTACGAGGTCCACGTTACTACCCCGTCAGTTGGCAACCTTTCAAGTCACGGCTTTTAGCGCACCGTGATAGCTTCAAGCACGTCAGATTGGTTATAGGGAGGAATATGCGCTGAGTCGTCGACCTTACTCTCCCTTCCAATTCCCAAACCTTAGTCACTGTCCGAGCCGGCCAGCTGACATGTGCAGGGAATTGGCGCGATGGCTGGCACATCTAGTGACCTTGTCCGCGGGCGCGCCACATGCACGACCTGGCCCCTCAAGCACAAACACCAGGATTTCACACAACAAGGGTTGGGCGGCGTACTTCTCGCATGCCTGGATGCTATAGGTCGCATTAAGAAGGAGGTGTTTCGGCCTGGCTCTCAGCCCACCAGCCCGCCACTCCACATACACAGTAGGTGGGCTAACTCATGAAATACTCACCAAGATTTCGAAATGCGTTTTCGTTTCGAAAAGAGTAATTAAGTAGGTTTGTAAAACTAGTTAGCCTACAGCATAATTCTATAATAATTCAGTTACCACAGGATGCTGGCTTTCGAATGAACATCCTTTCGGCTGCATGCAGAAACTAGACTCTGTAAAAAATGACTACTTAAATAGCATGAATTTTTCTCACTGATTTTCGATGTCCCTAAAAGCCCAATTATATTTCCTGGAAAACATGCGTAAAATATTAATTCTTTTATTCATTCGGTAGAAAATTACGTCTTCTTTTAATTTTATGCTCGAAGGAGGGAGATAATTCGGTTTTAAAAGTTCCTAATTGTGGGACTTTTAAATACCGTGAAATGGCCGTTCATAAATCGTCATGTCTCTGCATTTATCAATGTGGCTTGTAAAGTTAACAATATGGATCAAATCTACTGCGGAATTTTATGAACCCTATATGGTCCACCTTTATTACCGTAGAGAAATGCGTGGTTTTCCGTACGCGGAAAATATACGCCTTGTAGATTGGAAACCCTGAATCCAAGTGTAACGGCGGAGCGGGTTCAAAAGTATTCGGGAAATGGAAGAGTCTTTGAAAACCGAATTATACACTTCATTAGAGTATAAAGTAGGAAGATGCAGTTTTCTACCGAATAGGCAAAAGGAATATTTTATGCATGTTTTCCATGAAATATAATTGGATTTTTAATAACAGCGAAAATGCATGAGAAAATTTTATGCTACTGAAGTAGTCATTTTTTGCAGAGCATACTTCTTGCATGCAGTCGGAAAGGAGTTCATTCGAAAGCCGGCATCCTGGAGTAGCTGAATTATTATATAATTATGCTGCGTGATGATTGGTTTTACAACCCTACTAATTTAATCTGTTAGAAACGAAAACGCATTTCGGAATTTTGGTGGACATTTCATGAGTCAGCTCACCTACTGTACACACACACAATTAGGCAGACTGCGTGGACTGAGTTGGGGCCTCAGTCGGCGATCCACACACACCGTGATGGTCTCAGACTCGAATCACACAGGCTGCAGAGGCGTCGCATGGAAATGGAGCCGAGACGCACAGGTTTCAGCTGAGCTTACGCTTCATGGAATGTAGATTACATGCCCAACATATACAGAAAAAGCGCACGTTTGGGCGGAATTTTGGAGACTTCGTAGGCGGGTCACACTGGAATGAGTGCTAACGCAGTCTAGAGCTAGAGCTCATGACGACTATTTTTGAGGGGGTGGGGGCAAGAGGAGTATGTATCCGAGCATATTTTAGTAAGGATTTGGACTACCCTATCGGCCAAAAGTCGTAATCCCACAGAAGAGAAAAATTACGAAATTACGGAAGTATCGGATGCTTACCTTAGGCGCGATGACATCGCCGTTGGAAGGACAGAGGGAGTAGTCAAAAGTTAAGTGCTTAGGCGGACTCTCGGACATGGTTAAAAGCCTGCCCTGCTGTTGAGCATGGCAAAGAACCAATGAGAGGAGGACGGATGCTAAAAAAAGCGGGAAAAGAGGGATTGGACGCAGGCATATCTCAGCAAGAATAAAATATCTAGGAAAAATGGGTTCCACTCCCCCCCCCCGCAGTTTCTTAAACAGCGGAACTGTAGACTGCCAACAGATCGTGGGATCGGGCCGGGAAGGCGGGTTTCCAGTTAGCCTAACTGCCAGCTACCAGGTGCCGGAGAGTGGAACCGTCTTTAGTGAGGGGTAGATGCGAAATAGGCAGGCTGTCGGGTCTGATGAATAAGCAGTCGGGGACCAGCAGCGACAGCGCTGCCAGTGTGCGGAAAGCTGAGGTCTGGCACGTTGAAAGTCTTATAAAAGAGCCGTTAAGTCCGATGACGGCATTGTGGCATGGCGACCATGGCGGTGGCTCGCCACCGCCGCCTTATAGTTGGGCTCTTGAGCCATGACGCTAGAGGAGACAACCTCGAACAAACAATGTTAGTGGCTACTGGAGACTCGCTTGTACTCTAAATTTCCAAGAAACCTCATGAAATATATCCGATCACAGGATTAGGATCCATGCTACGACGTTCACGGGAACCGACAGTTGGTACTGCATGCTGGAATGTGCGAACATTCCTAGACCTTGGCACCCAAATTATGATCGCGCGCTGCCTTTATCAGTACAACATGGATGTCTGCTGCCTGTCCGACTTCCTGACTCAAACTCACGAGAAATAAAGATCTCTGGAGTCGAATCACACTTCACTCTGTGCCAAAGCGGTCCACGCAACTCTTTTGGTAGACACGGTATGACGATCGCCCTCTCGCAACAAGCGAACCTTATTTTACTTGCTTGAGAACCAGTCAATAACCTGATGGCCTGCCTGCGACTGAAGGGTCACTTCACGAACATCTCTATCGTTTCTGTGTACGCATCAACCCCAGCTGCCGGCGTTTTACTCGCAACTGCGAGCGTTAGTTGACAGACTCTCTCGCCGCGATCTGCTGATTGTTTCCGGGGATTGGAATGGCCGGAATGGATCTGGCGACTCTACAGTTATCTTTTTTGCCGCTTTGGGATTGGTTCGCGATGTGAAGATGGCGAGAGATTGCTGAAATTCGTTGATCAGAACCGTCTGCTTGTCACCAAAACGTGATTCCAGCATCGCAACAAACATCTGCTGATCCGGTATTCAAACGACGGTCATACGGCCAGTCAGATTGACTACATACTAGTCGGCTCAAGGTTCCGCGGATGGGTTCACGGTGCCGAGACTGGTAACGTCCATGGGTCGGACCATATTCCCGCTCGTAAACGCTTGAACGTTCACCTCTCATCCGCGCCAAAAATGCCACGTCCTAGACTCCTCGATGTCGCGAAAATCTGGCAAACCAGCACTGCCGAGGCTCTGAGCAGAGAAATTCGGTCCTGCTTCACGACCCGAGCCGACAGAGAAGGCAGAAACCAGTAGTCGTCATTGAAAACGTCAATCTATGGGGCATCTGAGAAAATCCTTGGATATACCCAGCGACACTGCAGTGACTGGATTAGCAGAAGAACCCTGCAGTTGTCTGCTCAAACGGCTCGAGTCAGGTCCCCTAGTGATGATTCCTTTCTCCAACTCCGAAAGATGACGGCAAAGTCGGACAAGGATGAGCGAAAGCAGTATTGGGCTGAAATAGCGGCCTCCATGGAACAGACCTCGAACGTCGGTGACATTCTAAAACTCCACCACCTCATCCGAAAAGTTAGTGGTAAGTCCTCTGCACTGAGTGACTCTGTTCGCGACGTGAACGGCGGCTTTATTGCTGACAATTCAACCAAAGTCGAACGTTAGCGTGAGCGCTCCGAGCACCATCTCAACTCCGATGTCCATCCCACCACGCCCTCGCTCTCCTCTGCAGCGGAGTTCCTTCCATCTCCCACCTATGCAGTGTCATGCGACCCCCCTTCCTAAGGAGAAGTCGGTGATGCCATAAGAAAGCTATGGAGAGGACGGTAAACCCTTTGAAATCTACAAGTCTTGTGGCGAAACTCTGGCGTCTTGGCTCCGTGGGGTGATAGAACATGCGTAAAGACGAAGTTGATCATGACGACTGGAACTCAGGCATCCTTGTAATTATCCTCGAGAAGGGAGATAAAACGAGATGCGAGAACTTACGTCGCGTCTGCCTCATCGACGTTGCTGCAAAGATCTTCGCAACTATCCTCCTTAGGCGATCCCAAACTGTGCGTGACTCAAGGACGAGGCCCAACCAAGCTGGATGTGGATGCGCAGACCAGGTATTCACACTGAGGCACATTCTCGAATTCCGCCATAGCTACTAGCAACCGACGGCCGTCTGCTTCATTGACTTTGCCGCCGCGTTCGATTCCGTCCATCGTGAGTCCCTGGGGTGGATAATGGCGCTAGACGGTGTACCGCCAAAAATCATCGCCGTGACCAAGGTCTATTACCGCTCCACCACGGCACAAGTTCTGGTCCATAAAAATCTTTCCCAACCATTCGGCATTCGATCTGACGTTCGATATGGTTGCATACTGTCGCCGATTCTGTTAAAATACGCTATTGACTGGATTCTCAGGAGGGCCCTGCACGAATATGACGACGTTGAGTTTGCACCCGGACACTGACTGACGATATCGCCTTACTTGTTTTAAGTTTTGTTGATCTGCAGTCTGCGGCGTCACGGGCGGATGAGGTAGCTAAATTAGTCGGTTTATCCATCAACGTTGGGAAGAGCAAAGTGTTTTCAAGCTGCGTCCTTGACCACGAAAATGTACCTCTCGGGGATTGATGGCTGTCAACCTGAAGAAGTAGACAGTTTTAAATACCTTGGGCGAGGTTGCTACCCAATGGACAGAGTGAGGACGACATTGTCTCCCGAACTAATGCCGCCCGCCGGGTTTTCTCAGGCCTTAGAAAATGCCTATGGGACCGATGTGACCTCCCCATAGCCACTAATATTCGCGTGTCCGGTCTATCCTTCTCTATGGTTGTGAATACTGGGCTGTGCGCGTGGAGAACGAGCGAAAACTAGATGTATTTGACCGCCACTGCTTCGAGCGAAGTACACCGACTTCGTTTCAAATGAGACAGTCCACGCTCGCAGCGACAACATCGTAAGGATAACCCAGGCCATCTAAGAATGACGACTGAGGGGGTTCGGGCATGTTCTTCGTCGTCTTCTTTAGGAGCTCAGTGTTACCGCCCTCGATCCGGCACCGTTAGCCCATTGGAGGCATTGAAGAGGGGTTCAACTCAAAATCTGACTCGACACAGTTCGTCAAGACATGGAGGTGGTTCTTGAATCTTCGGTATTCGGTCTCCGTCGTTGGCGGAAAGAGTTGCCCAGGTCTACTGTCGCGGATCGTCACGCGCGTGGATAGGGACATCATGGAGGCCGGCTAGATCAGACATGGTCGCAGCCGTACCAGGTACAAGTACAGATGGAATCGAGCCCCATGGGCTGCAAAGCCTGGCGTTGGGTGCGACTGGCCGATGATGGCTAGTAGGCTGAAAACGGCCATCCCAGTCTTCCTTGCCTTTGTCGGCGATGCTATTCTGTCTGATGTGACTCAAAATCGAGCGCCGAGGCACAAAGCAGAACCAGTGTCCCGGTGAGCGTCCTTCAACCATTGTCAAAATATTAATTAATGCGCAGGTGAGGCACCAACGCACGACCAGAGCCAACGCACACATCTCACCCCCCGTCTACGTAGGCGCAGTTACCGTGCCCCCAAAAATACGCAAAATTACGAGTCCGAACAAAAGAGGGTGAATGTTAGGTCACACAACGTAATAGTACACTCAATTCGACGTCGCATAAAGTCAGCTATGGTTTTAACGTGAGTGTTTAAATAAAAACGCCGGTTGACACGATATAGATATTTCGTTAAAAAAAGAAAAAAACATGTAGTCTGTGGTTGTAGAGGCATACAAGAGCATACGAATGCAGAGGCAGACGCGCGGACGTGGTGTTGGAGGTTTGGAGAGTGCAGTAGGCACTGGGATAAGATGTGGTCATGTAGCTCCACCTGATGGACACAATATTGTTGCGGTTGGGGTTAGGGCAACTATTTATCAACCACTCAAAGTACAACCGTGCATTCCCCGTAGCCTTTCTTTAGCACACAACTGCTTGATATCGTCGCCTGTGCGTTCCCCGGCCCCACCGTAAAAGCCCCTATTACTACCGGTCCCGTATTAGAGGTGACTGGGGTTTGCTTACTTCAGGTGGGGCTACCAAACCACATCCGAGCAACATATGTTTCCAGTAACTCAGCACCGGGCCAGTATAGTTACATGGGTAATGATCTTTTCAATTGTAGACAGGATATAAATGTGTCTCAGGGGCAGGGTTGGCCAGAGTCCATGTTCCCACGCCGCCCGCATGACGGAGTCAGCATGTTGAGGACGGTGGGGTTTGGGCGGGAGGGGGCGGGGTGGAAGGAGAGGGGTTCCGGATAGATTGTAAACGATAAGTGCGTGTGACTGCCCTCAGGGCGTCGGGACGGCGTGCGATCACCGCCTGGAGTCGGCCAGGGCAGACAGACTGCTTGTGTTAACGTCTTCTGACAACGGGTCCCGTATTACAGGTGGGCTGGGGTTTGTTTACTTCAGGTGGGGCTACATGGCCACATCTGACCGGCACTAGTTCGAAAGTGACTACTGAATATTGCAGACGAACTAACACGAACAAGTGTAGGTGACTTGGAGACTGATACAGGAGTTATTTAAACAGACGGTTACTGCGAAGTATGGCAAACTTTCAGCCGAGCTTATTGCCGACAGCCATCATGGTTATATGTCAGGTGTCATTGTTCAACGCCTCGCTGCCTCAAGGTCATTCACCCCTTGCAGCGGGCCCTTCCAGAGGCGCTGGCCTAAAGCCATTCTCGACCGACTTCAGCTCGGACACACCTGCGTCCAAACAGTCGTAGCTGTCCATGCGGTCCACTTGGACGTACCTCGGCCCAGCAATCAGCAACATAAGCCACTAAGACACCGCAAATGCAAATGCAAAACACACCGATCGGAAACCACTTGAGCTTGGCCCACGGGGTTAAAAAAGCGGCTGCCAGCAATGTTCCAGGAAAATCTCAGGCATGACTGGACGAAGTCAACACCCGCCCCGGCCTCGTCAGCAGTCACTGCCGCCTGAGAGACAGCCTCGGGGGTTCTGTATGCTTTAAGACTTCTGTCTTCATCTACAACTTGGGATCTGACCCGATGATTGTAGCGCATTGAATACACACTCCCACAGTTTAGACGCTACAAGGTCATGCCATGTCATGACTCAGATTCTCAACTACCATAGTAACCACCCAATGACGCATAAACGCAGCTGTGTTAGGATACTCTTCCAAAGGGTAAAAATGCATTGCTGTGAACCAGAGGCGTGAGTGCGAAAACTAGGGCATTTTCGGGACCAACTGGCAAGGAGTGGATACCTGAACAGCTTCCTCAGCCGCTGCCTCCGCACGCACCCACGGCGAACGAACGGAGGAGAGCCGGCAACACTCTACCATATATAAAGAACGTGTACGAAGCGATGGAACGTATCGCTGGAAAGCTCGGGGTGGGTATCGTTCACCGTCCGACAGTGACCATGCGCAAAAGAATCATGTGAGTGAAGGACCGACTAGACCCTGAAGAACAATCGGGTGTCGTTTATCAGATCCTATGTCGGGACTGCCCTCGCCACTACTCAGGACAGACCGGACGACGACTTAGCTCACGAATAACGAAGCATAAACGGAAGGTCCGGAGATGCGACCCGTTGTCGCAGGTCGCCACTCACACCCTGGAGGAAGGCCACGAATTCAACTTCGCGAGCACGCGGATAGTAGCGCGGACCAGCAATAAGACAGGGCGAGAACTGCTGGAGACCTGGGTATCTGACAATAATTCCATCAACAGACACATTGACATACCCCCTTGCTGCCACGCGCTCCGTTCCCGCGGCCAAGAGGCCAGACCCTATTCCCAGCCAAGGATGCACGCCGTCACGCCGCCGTGAGACTGCGTGGGACCCAGCTTACCGCGAATACCACCCTCTGCCCTCACATCCCCCCATTCATGGCTTGACTACAAAAACTGCTCATTTGATGCCGGATTCTCACAGTCTCTGACGATGGCCTCCTCTACGAGACCGAAAGCTCAGACTAAAACACCTACTATTCCAGAGATCGTTTGTTCATCTTCTTTATAAATAAGATGACAGACCCGGGGTTCTGTATGCTTTAAGGTCTCTGTCTCCAGCTACAACTTGTGATTTGATCTGATGATTGTAGCGCACTGAATACACACTCCCACAGCTCAGCCGCCACAAGGTCATGTCATTGGGGAGGTAGAGGTGCCCTCTTAAAGCATAAAAAAGCAGAGATTAACTCAAATGACCCTCCAAAATCGACTGTGTTTTGGTTTGCCCGACGGATAGTGATAAATCCCCATGCATGTGGGTCTGAATACAGCATCGTTGATAGCATAATGCGACCTGAGTTCTCTGGCGCAATGCGCGAACTGGAGTTTCAGATTAGCAACCAGTGTCAAAAAGTGAGCATTTTAGATGATCTTGGACCAGTCGGATTGTGTCAGAAATTGCGCCTTGAAGTACATCTGCAGGGATCTGACATCAAAACCCCGTTGCGCAGGAGGTAAAGGGCCGTGACACTGCAGCATCAGTGTTGGTAAAGATAGCCAAATATCATTGTGTCAAGGTCCACAAAAACATAGAGGAAATGGACGGTGTACCTACCCAGCAACCTGATGAGACTCATTAGGTTAGGAAACTGCCTAGGACATAGGGATGGCGCACAATACAATCAACGGCAATTAAAGTCACCCGCAAAAAGGCGCCAATGGAAAAAACGTCGGCTCAATATGGTTGACCGGGAAGGGAACAGACTGGACTGGAAGTACGTCAACAGTACAATCATTGAGTCTGTATTATTCGCTTACTTAATCCATAGAGACTGTGTTTGATTTTTTCCCGATCAGGTCCGGTGGTCAGGTTTGAGTCTGGCTTGCTGCATTCAATCACGGTCTTGGGAAAGTCACATTGATTCAGTCGATATGACCACCACTTGTAAATTCGTCATACGTATTTGTTCAACACTCCCAAAAGTTAAACAGTTAAACACTTCTAGTCCAACCCCCCTGGAAATCTCAAGTTGCAACCTGCTGGGACCTTAGGGGAGTTTGGTAGAAGACATTAGGGCGGACCTCACTAATATGGCGGCCGACTTCTCGGAAAATGTGGGGAAGAATTGACAAAAACTAGCTCAAAGACGCGACGCAGGGTTTAAAAGACGATCCAGCTGGTTTGCCAAGCAGTAGGAGAGTGTAACGTTATACTGGTGATGTGAACGCTAGTCTCATCGAAACTTCAGTGTAATTGCAATCATCTTTTGAGCTGACGCTGTTTCCACCACAACCAATTGGGTTACATCGAAGTTTCCGTAGACTGCACACTCATGGGTTTCGCTTTGGAGGGAGATGAGGCTGGACGGAACAAATACGCACGTGCACATAACTCGCTCACGCTCTCAATGAAGCGCTTTCTGAACCTCCCCCTAGTGTGAATCACACTCAGATTATGGGTGACAAAAGAGAGATATACAAAAAAACCGACTACTGTCTGTAAACAGTGTCACTACGGACTAAGGGCATACAAATACCCTCAGCATAGGCGCCCACATTGTAAAAACCGTACGTCGCTGAGGTGGCATCATTTTAAGACAATTTACGATGGGTAGAGAGTGGGAGCAAACTCGTTCAACATGTGCAGTGAACGGGAGGTGCCAACGGTCGGTCAGCTGACGGGGAAGGGAGAAGCAGCAGCAGCAACAGAGAACAGGAGTACAAGATCACGA